GCATTTAAGTGAAGATATAATGTGAACAGCATTTAAGTGAAGCATATAAGTGAACAGCATTAAGTGGCATACAATGGTGAACAGCTTATAAGTTTGAAGCATATAAGTGAACAGCATTTAAGTGAAGCATATAAGTGAACAGCATTTAAGTGAAGCATATAAGTGAACAGCATTTAAGTGAAGCATACAAGTGAACAGCATTTAAGTGAAGCATATAAGTGAACAGCATTTAAGTGAAGCATATAAGTGAACAGCATTTAAGTGAAGCAATACAATGTGAACAGCATTTAAGTGAAGCCATATAAAGTGAACTGCATTTAGTGAAGCATATAATGTGAACAGGCTTTAAGTGAAGCATACAAAGTGAACAGCTTTTAAGTGAAGCATATAAGTGAACTGCATTTAGTGAAAGCATAAAGTGAAACTGCTTTTTTAAAGTGAAAGGCATATAATGGTGAAAGCATTTAAGTGAAGCATACAAGTGAACAGCATTTAAGTGATGTACAAGTTGTGATCAGCATTTAAGTGAAGGCAAACAAGTGAACAGCATTTAACGTGAGCAAAAACAAGGTGAACAGCATTTAATGTCGAAGACATATAGTGAACAGCCATTTAAGTGAAGCATATAAGTGAACTGCATTTAATGAAGCCATATAAGTGAAACAGCATTTAAGTGAAACATACCAAGTGAACTGCATTTAAGTGATGCATATAAAAGTGAACAGCATTTTAAGTGAAGCATTCTAAGTGAACAGCATTTAAGTGAAGCATATAAGTGAACAGCATTTAAGTGAAGCATACAAGTGAACAGCATTTAAGTGAAGCATATAAGTGAACAGCATTTAAGTGAAGATTAAGTGACGCTTTTTAGAAAAAGGTAAAGAGGTTTATCGTTACATTTATGGATTTGGAAAAAGGCGTATGATAGGATGGATATGGGAAGAATTTAGCAGATGTTGCAACATCTTGCTCACCTGTGGCTCACTATCTAAAACGAGGATAGTGACCAACAGGAGAGAGGAAAACTATTTCCCAGTAAAAGTAAGCCTTAGACAAGGATGTGTGACGTCACCATCGTTGTTCAGTATATTTATAGATGAGGTTGTGAAGGAAGTGAATACTCGGGTGTTGGCAAGAGGTGTGGGGTTAAGAGATGAAGAATCTAACATAAAGTGAGTTGTCACAGTTACTTTTTGCTGATGACACTGTGCTTTTGGGAGATTCTGAAGAGAAATTGCAGAGGTTGATTGACGAGTTTGGAAGGGTATGTAAAACAAGGAAATTAAAAGTGAACATAAGAAATAACAAGGTTATGAGAATAACAAAAAATTTAGGTAATGAAAGACTGGATATCAGATTGAAGGGAAGGAGCATGGAGGAAGTGAGTGTATTCAGATATCTGGGAGTAGCCATCAGTAAATGGGTCAATAAAAGGACAACAACTGAATCAATAGAACTGGATGAGGGGGAAAAAAGGTAATTGGTGCAGAGGAGTCTGTGGAGACAGAACATTATCCATGGAAAGCAAAGAGGGGAATGTAATGAGCGTTATATGGTGATAACGTTTAAAGGGACAGGGTGGAAGCTCAGACCCAAGGTTTACTGAAGCAGCGATTCAGTGGGACACCCTTACAGTTTCCTCCAGTAGACCAGCTCCTCCCAAAGAACACAAAGTCACACTGGGACAAACCGATCATGGAAAAAATCGCCAACACAATGCTCTCCAACGCCTCAGGAAAGGACAAAGCTCGTCTCCTGGCAGTGAAGGCACCACACTCAGATTTCCTGTTAGCTGTTCCCAATTCCTCCTTGGGCACTCGACTAGACCCACAAGCCATTCGGATTGGTGTTGCTCTTCGCCTAGCCGCCCCCATTCTCACCGAACATAGGTGTATTTGCGGCAGGTCGACAGCTGATCAGTTCGGACTTCATGGTCTCGTGTGTCACACAGCAGAAGGGAAGTATGCCAGGCATGAGGAGGTCAATGACATCATAAAGAGAAGCCTCGCCACAGCCCGTTGCCCAGCTCAATGGGAACCCCAAGTGCCGAGGTCTGACGGAAGTCAAAAGCGTCCTGATGGAGCCAATATGCTACCTTGGAAGGATGAAAAGCAGATTGCCTGGGACTACACCTGTGCCGCCACATTGGCAGACACCTACTTGCCATACTCCGTAGTGGAAGGGGGTGGAGCTGCCAGCCACAGGGAGACCCAGAAGATCCGCAAATATGAAGACCCTCCCCCTTGCTATAACTTCATCCCAATAGGGTCGGAGACCCTTGGAGCATGAGGCAAGTGTGCTCTAAAGTTCTTAATAGAGGTGGGTGAAAAGCTCATCATAGAAACCAAGGATCACAGGGCGACCAGCTTCCTCTTTTAGAGACTCAGTGTTGCAATCCAGAGAGGAAATGCCTGCAGCATTCTGGGCATGCAGCCCACCGCAGGGGAGCTGGACGAAGTATTCGAGATGTAGCTCTGAGTTACCTACGTTGTTTTACTTTCTATTGTATCTTTGTGAATGTTTTCTCAATGTATTTTTATATATAATATTTTATATATATATATATATATATATATATATAATATATATATATATATATATATATATATATATATATAATGTAGTGCTGAATTGGTAAAACTGGTCAATTAGCAAGAACTCATTTGAAATTACGTACTTTCTAAAATTTTCTCTTATACGTTATAAATATATATATAAAATATATATATATATATATATATATATATATATTATATATATATATATATATTAAAATATATATATATATCATTTACGTTAATGTAAAAAATAAGAATTTTGTACCAAAAGAACCTTAGAAAACTTACCTAACCTTACTATAACAAGTGCAATTTAATTTAGCCTAATCGAACTGAATATATTTTGGATAAGTTTACAGTAATTTAATAATAAGTAAACACAATGAAATATATTTTTTTTCGTAAGGTTCAGAAAAATTTATGCGAAATTATTGAATACGCAAATTTTCGTTTGCCTTAATAGGCAAGAAGAGCGTTGTTAATTAAGCCAAAATCACAAGTTTTACTTACTCGCCACGACACACACACACACACACATTATTATTTTTTTATTTTTTTTTATTATCACACTGGCCGATTCCCACCAAGGCAGGGTGGCCCGAAAAAGAAAAACTTTCACCATCATTCACTCCATCACTGTCTTGCCAGAAGGGTGCTTTACACTACAGTTTTTAAACTGTAACATTAACACCCCTCCTTCAGAGTGCAGGCACTGTACTTCCCATCTCCAGGACTCAAGTCCGGCCTGCCGGTTTCCCTGAACCCCTTCATAAATGTTACTTTGCTCACACTCCAACAGCACGTCAAGTATTAAAAACCAATTGTCTCCATTCACTCCTATCAGACACGCTCACGTATGCCTGCTGGAAGTCCAAGCCCCTCGCACACAAAACCTCCTTTAACCCCTCCCTCCAACCTTTCCTAGGCCGACCCCTACCCCGCCTTCCTTCCACTACAGACTGATACACTCTTGAAGTCACTCTGTTTCGCTCCATTCTCTCTACATGTCCGAACCACCTCAACAACCCTTCCTCAGCCCTCTGGACAACAGTTTTGGTAATCCCGCACCTCCTCCTAACTTCCAAACTACGAATTCTCTGCATTATATTCACACCACACATTGCCCTCAGACATGACATCTCCACTGCCTCCAGCCTTCTCCTCGCTGCAACATTCATCACCCATGCTTCATACATTCTCTCTCTCATATATTTCCCTCTTTGCCTCCAAGGACAAATTTCTTTGTCTCCACAGACTCCTAAGTGCACCACTCACCCTTTTCCCCTCATCAATTCTATGATTCACCTCATCTTTCATAGACCCATCCGCTGACACGTCCACTCCCAAATATCTGAATACATTCACCTCCTCCATACTCTCTCCCTCCAATCTGATATCCAATCTTTCATCACCTAATCTTTATGTTATCCTCATAACCTTACTCTTCTCTGTATTCACTTTTAATTTTCTTCTTTGCACACCCTACCAAATTCATCCACCAATCTCTGCAACTTCTCTTCAGAATCTCCCAAGAGCACAGTGTCATCAGCAAAGAGCAACTGTGACAACTCCCACTTTATGTGTATTCTTTATCTTTTAACTTCACGCCTCTTGCCAAGACCCTCGCATTTACTTCTCTTACAACCCCATCTATAAATATATTAAACAACCACGGTGACATCACACATCCTTGTCTAAGGCTACTTTTTACTGGGAAATAATTTCCCTCTTTCCTGCATACTCTAACTGAGCCTCACTATCCTCGTAAAAACTCTTCACGCTTTCAGTAACCTACCTCCTACACCATACACCTGCAACATCTGCCACATTGCCTCCCTATCCCCCTGTCATACGCCTTTTCCAAATCCATAAATGCCACAAAGACCTCTTTAGCCTTATCTAAATACTGTTCACTTATATGTTTCACTGTAAACACCTGGTCCACACACCCCCTACCTTTCCTAAAGCCTCCTTGTTCATCTGCTATCCTATTCTCCGTCTTACTCTTAATTCTTTCAATAATAACTCTACCATACACTTTACCAGTATACTCAACAGACTTATCCCCCTATAATTTTTGCACTCTCTTTTGTCCCCTTTGCCTTTATACAAAGGAACTATGCATATATATATATATATATATATTATATATATATATATATATATATATATATAATATATATATATATATATATATATATATATATATATATATGTGTGTGTGTGTAGTGTGTGTGAGTTGTGAGTGTGTGTGAGTGTGTGTGAGTGTGTGTGTGTGTAGTGTGTGTGTGTGTGTGTGTGTGTGTGTGTGTTGTGTGTGTGTGTGTGTGTGTGTGTGTTGGTAAAACAACCCCGGGAAGAGTTAGCTAGAAGTAACGTTGTTTTGCATTTTTTATCGCTTGTTTGCGATTATTAAATATATGTTAATGTTTGTTGTGTTGCAGGAGTGTACCCAGCCAGAGGGTCGCTGTGTCAGCTACAAGGATTTCTTCTTAATCTGCTGTGCCTCCTCTCTGTGTGGTACACCATGTTGCTGGCTGTGGAGAGGTAAGTCTCACTCTTGCTCGCTGCTGAAATGTAAGTCAGGAAGTTTTACATACCAGTCACTAAGTTTTAAGTCCCAGCCATTAAGTGTTAAGTATCAGTCATTAAGTGTTAAGTACCAGTCATTAAGTTTAAGTACCAGTCATTAACTGTTAAGTACCAGTCATTAAGTTTAAGTACCAGTCATTAAGTTTAAGTACCAGTCATTAAGTTTAAGTACCAGTCATTAAGTGTTAAGTACCAGTCATTAAGTTTAAGTACCAGTCATTAAGTTTAAGTAACAGTCATTAAGTTTAAGTACCAGTCATTAAGTTTAAGTACCAGTCATTAAGTGTTAAGTACCAGTCATTAAGTTTAAGTACCAGTCATTAAGTTTAAGTACCAGTCATTAAGTTTAAGTACCAGTCATTAAGTTTAAGTACCAGTCATTAAGTTTAAGTAACAGTCATTAAGTTTAAGTACCAGTCATTAAGTTTAAGTACCAGTCATTAAGTTTAAGTACCAGTCATTAAGTTTAAGTACCAGTCATTAAGTTTTAAGTACCATTATTAAGTTTAAGTACCAGTCATTAAGTTTAAGTACCAGTCATTAAGTTTAAGTACCTGTCATTAAGTTTAAGTACCAGTCATTAAGTTTAAGTACCAGTCATTAAGTTTAAGTACCAGTCATTAAGTTTAAGTACCAGTCATTAAGTTTAAGTACCTGCCCATTAAGTTTAAGTACCAGTCATTAAGTTTAAGTACCAGTCATTAAGTTTAAGTACCTGTCATTAAGTTTAAGTACCTGTCATTAAGTTTAAGTACCTGTCATTAAGTTTAAGTACCAGTCATTAAGTTTAAGTACCTGTCATTAAGTTTAAGTACCTGTCATTAAGTTTAAGTACCTGTCATTAAGTTTAAGTACCAGTCATTAAGTTTTAAAGAATTGCAATATACCAATGAGCAAAACTTCCTCAATTTGACCTATCATTGGATGGACATTTTATTACGCGAGTCTTTTATCTTGTCAATAAAGTTATCTGATGCTTTACTGGCTGCAAGTAACGTCAATTTGTTTCGCATATGCCACTGTTAACGTTATTTGTTCGTGTCAGTCGCTGACCTGCGACTGACACGAACGTCAGCTGATGCTTTACGTCAGCTGATTCTTTATCAGATGATTTTCTAGGTCAGCTGATTCTTTACTTCAGCTGATTCTTTATGTCAGCTGACGTTTTATATCAGCTGATTCTTTGTCGGCTGATTGTCTACGTCAGGTGATTGTTTGTCAGCTGATTGTCTAGGTCAGCTGATTCTTTGTCAACTGATTATTTAGGTCAGCTGATTGTTTGTCAGCTGATTGTCTAGGTCAGCTGATTCTATGTCAGCCGATTGTTTACGTCAGCTGATTGTTTGTCAGCTGATTGTCTAGGTCAGCTGATTCTATGTCAGCCGATTGTCTACGTCAGGTGATTGTTTGTCAGCTGATTGTCTAGGTCAGCTGATTCTATGTCAGCCGATTGTCTACGTCAGGTGATTTTTTTGTCAGCTGATTGTCTACGTCAGTTGATTTTTTTGTCAGCTGATTTCTCTTGGTAGTTGGTTCTTCATTTCACGTGGTTGCCTACGTCAGGTGATTACTGATGTCAGCTAATTAGTGATGTCAGCTGATTACTGATGTGAGCTGACTGCTGATTATTGATGTTAGCTGATTACTAATGTCAGAAGATTCCTTATGTCAATTTAATAATACTAATAACGTCAGCTATAGATTACTCTCAGTCAGTCGTCTTGTATCTTGTTTCATGTGTAATATATTCTGAAATATATTCTGAAATATATTCTGAAAACTATTCCGACACATTCTGATATTGAAATATAAACGATTGCCTTTATGTATATATTTTTAGTGTCTTTGCTGTTGCTAGAGAGAGAGAGAGAGAGAGAGAGAGAGAGAATGCAATTTCTTCTTAATTTCCTCTTCTTGTTATCTTGATTCCGGATTCTTAAAGGTGTGATAAAATTAATTTAGTTGTGTTGGTGGTTGTACCCACCTAGTTGATGGTTGCAGTGGTTGTACCCACCTAGTTGATGGTTGTAGTGGTTGTACCCACTCTAGTGATGGTTGTAGTGGTTGTACCCACCTAGTTGATGGTTGTAGTGGTTGTACCCACCTAGTTGATGGTTGCAGTGGTGTACCCACCTAGTTGATGGTTGTAGTGGTTGTACCCACCTAGTTGATGGTTTGTAGTGGTTGTACCCACCTAGTTGATGGTTGTAGTGGTTGTACCCACCTAGTTGATGGTTGTAGTGGTTGTACCCACCTAGTTGATGGTTGCAGTGGTTGTACCCACCTAGTTGATGGTTGTAGTGGTTGTACCCACCTAGTTGATGGTTGTAGTGGTTGTACCCACCTAGTTGATGGTTGTAGTGGTTGTACCCACCTAGTTGATGGTTGCAGTGGTTGTACCCACCTAGTTGATGGTTGCAGTGGTTGTACCCACCTAGTTGATGGTTGCAGTGGTTGTACCCCCTAGTTGATGGTTGTAGTGGTTGTACCCACCTAGTTGATGGTTGCAGTGGTTGTACCCACCTAGTTGATGGTTGCAGTGTGTTGTACCCACCTAGTTGATGGTTGCAGTGGTTGTACCCACCTAGTTGATGGTTGTAGTGGTTGTACCCACCTAGTTGATGGTTGCAGTGGTTGTACCCACCTAGTTGATGGTTGCAGTGGTTGTACCCACCTAGTTGATGGTTGCAGTGGTTTACCCACCTAGTTGATGGTTGCAGTGGTTGTACCCACCTAGTTGATGGTTGCAGTGGTTGTACCCACCTAGTTGATGGTTGTAGTGGTTGTACCCACCTAGTTGATGGTTGCAGTGGTTGTACCCACCTAGTTGATGGTTGCAGTGGTTTGTACCCACCTAGTTGATGGTTGCAGTGGTTGTACCCACCTAGTTGATGGTTGCAGTGGTTGTACCCACCTAGTTGATGGTTGCAGGGGTTGTACCCACCTAGTTGATGGTTGCAGTGGTTGTACCCACCTAGTTGATGGTTGCAGTGGTTGTACCCACCTAGTTGATGGTTGCAGTGGTTGTACCCACCTAGTCGATGGTTGCAGTGGTTGTACCCACCTAGTTGATGGTTGCAGTGGTTGTACCCACCTAGTTGATGGTTGGCGTGGTTGTACCCACCTAGTTGAGGCTGCAGCAGTTGTACCCACCTAGTTGAGGCTGCAGGGGTTGTACCCACCTAGTTGAGGTTGCAGGGGTTGTACCCACCTAGTTGAGGCGGCAGGGGTTGTACCCACCTAGCTGAGGCTGCAGGGGTTGTACCCACCTAGTTCAGGCTGCAGGGGTTGTACCCACCTAGTTGAGGCTGCAGCGGTTGTACCCACCTAGTTGAGGCTGCAGCGGTTGTACCCACCTAGTTGATGCTGCAGCGGTCGTACCCACCTAGTTGAGTCTGCAGCGGTTCTACCCACCTAGTTGAGGCTGCAGCGGTTGTACCCACCTAGTTGAGGCTGCAGGGGTTGTACCCGCCTAGTTGAGGCTGCAGCGGTTGTACCCACCTAGTTGAGGCTGCAGGGGTTGTACCCACCTAGTTGAGGCTGCAGCGGTTGTACCCACCTAGTTGAGGCTGCAGCGGTTGTACCCACCTAGTTGAGGCTGCAGGGGTTGTACCCACCTAGTTGAGGGTGCAGCGGGTGTACCCACCTAGTTGAGGCTGCAGCGGTTGTACCCACCTAGTTGAGGCTGCAGCGGTTGTACCCACCTAGTAGAGGCTGCAGCGGTTGTACCCACTAGTTGAGGCTGCAGGGGTTGTACCCACCTAGTTGAAGGCTGCAGGGGTTTGTACCCACCTAGTTGAGGCTGCAGCGGTTTGTACCCACCTAGTTGAGGCTGCAGGGATGTACCCACCTAGTTGAGGCTGCAGGGGTTGTACCCACCTAGTTGAGGCTGCAGCGGTTGTACCCACCTAGTTGAGGCTGCAGCGGTTGTACCCACCTAGTTGAGGCTGCAGGGGTTGTACCCACCTAGTTGAGGTTGCAGATGTTGTACCCACCTAGTTGAGGTTGCCGGGGTTGAGTCACCGCTCATGAATACAAGGGAACATACTTGTACGATTCAATCTGCAAAGTATGAAAATAAAGCATGTCTATGTGGAGTCAGTCAGGGTGGTACAGTCAGGGTGGTACAGTCAGGGTGGTACAGTCAGGGTGGTACAGTCAGGTGGTACAGTCAGGTGGTACAGTCAGGTGGTACAGTCAGGGTGGTACAGTCAGGGTGGTACAGTCAGGGTGGTACAGTCAGGTGGTACAGTCAGGTGGTACAGTCAGGGTGGTACAGTCAGGGTGGTACAGTCAGGGTGGTACAGTCAGGGTGGTACAGTCAGGGTGGTACAGTCAGGGTGGTACAGTCAGGGTGGTACAGTCAGGGTGGTACAGTCAGTTGGTACAGTCAGGGTGGTACAGTCAGGGTGGTACAGTCAGTTGGTACAGTCAGGGTGGTACAGTCAGGGTGGTACAGTCAGGGTGGTACAGTCAGGGTGGTACAGTCAGTTGGTAACAGTCAGGGTGGTACAGTCAGGGTGGTACAGTCAGGTGTACAGTCAGGGTGGTACAGTCAGGGTGGTACAGTCAGGGTGGTACAGTCAGGGTGGTACAGTCAGGAGGTACAGTCAGGGAGGTACAGTCAGGGTGGTACAGTCAGGGTGGTACAGTCAGTTGGTACAGTCAGGGTGGTACAGTCAGGGTGGTACAGTCAGGGTGGTACAGTCAGGGTGGTACAGTCAGGGTGGTACAGTCAGGGTGGTACAGTCAGGTGGTACAGTCAGGGTGGTACAGTCAGGGTGGTACAGTCAGGGTGGTACAGACAGGGTGGTACAGTCAGGGTGGTACAGTCAGGTGGTACAGTCAGGGTGGTACAGTCAGGTGGTACAGTCAGGTGTGTACAGTCAGGGTGGTACAGTCAGGGTGGTACAGTCAGGTGGTACAGTCAGGGTGGTACAGTCAGGGTGGTACAGTCAGGGTGGTACAGTCAGGGTGGTACAGTCAGGGTGGTACAGTCAGGGTGGTACAGTCAGGTGGTACAGTCAGGGTGGTACAGTCAGGGTGGTACAGTCAGGGTGGTACAGTCAGGGTGCTACAGTCAGGTGGTACAGTCAGGGTGGTACAGTCAGGGTGGTACAGTCAGGTGGTACAGTCAGGTGGTACAGTCAGGGAGGTACAGTCAGGGTGGTACAGTCAGGGTGGTACAGTCAGGGTGGTACAGTCAGGTGGTACAGTCAGGTGGTACAGTCAGGGTGGTACAGTCAGGGTGGTACAGTCAGGGTGGTACAGTCAGGTGGTACAGTCAGGTGGTACAGTCAGGGTGGTACAGTCAGGTGGTACAGTCAGGGTGGTACAGTCAGGTGGTACAGTCAGGGTGGTACAGTCATGGAGGTACAGTCAGGGTGGTACAGTCAGGGTGGTACAGTCAGGGTGGTACAGTCAGGTGGTACAGTCAGGTGGTAGTCAGGGTGGTACAGTCAGGTGGTACAGTCAGGGTGGTACAGTCAGGGTGGTACAGTCAGGGTGGTACAGTCAGGTGGTACAGTCAGGTGGTACAGTCAGGGTGGTACAGTCAGGTGGTACAGTCAGGGTGGTACAGTCAGGTGGTACAGTCAGGGTGGTACAGTCAGGTGGTACAGTCAGGTGGTACAGTCAGGGAGGTACAGTCAGGGTGGTACAGTCAGGGTGGTACAGTCAGGGTGGTACAGTCAGGTGGTACAGTCAGGTGGTACAGTCAGGGTGGTACAGTCAGGGAGGTACAGTCAGGGTGGTACAGTCAGGGTGGTACAGTCAGGGTGGTACAGTCAGTTGGTACAGTCAGGTGGTACAGTCAGGGTGGTACAGTCAGGTGGTACAGTCAGGGTGGTACAGTCAGGTGGTACAGTCAGGGTGGTACAGTCAGGTGGTACAGTCAGGTGGTACAGTCAGGGTGGTACAGTCAGGGTGGTACAGTCAGGGTGGTACAGTCAGGGTGGTACAGTCAGGGTGGTACAGTCAGGTGGTACAGTCAGGTGGTACAGTCAGGGTGGTACAGTCAGGGTGGTACAGTCAGGGTGGTACAATCAGGGTGGTACAGTCAGGGTGGTACAGTCAGGGAGGTACAGTCAGGGTGGTACAGTCAGAGTGGTACAGTCAGGGAGGTACAGTCAGGGTGGTACAGTCAGGGTGGTACAGTCAGGGTGGTACAGTCAGGGTGGTACAGTCAGGGAGGTACAGTCAGGGAGGTACAGTCAGGGTGGTACAGTCAGGGTGGTACAGTCAGGGTGGTACAGTTAGGGTGGTAAAGTCAGGGTGGTACAGTCAGGGAGGTACAGTCAGGGTGGTACAGTCAGAGTGGTACAGTCAGGGTGGTACAGTCAGGGAGGTACAGTCAGGGAGGTACAGTCAAGGAGGTACAGTCAGGGTGGTACAGGTAGGGTGGTACAGTCAAGGAGGTACAGTCAGGGAGGTACAGTCAGGGAGGTACAGTCAGGGAGGTACAGTCAGGGAGGTACAGTCAGGGAGGTACAGTCAGGGTGGTACAGTCAGGGTGGTACAGTCAGGGAGGTACAGTCAGGGAGGTACAGTCAAGGAGGTACAGTCAGGGTGGTACAGGTAGGGTGGTACAGTCAGGGAGGTACAGTCAGGGTGGTACAGTCAGGGAGGTACAGTCAGGGTGGTACAGTCAGGGAGGTACAGTCAGGGTGGTACAGTCAGGGTGGTACAGTCAGGGAGGTACAGTCAGGGAGGTACAGTCAGGGTGGTACAGTCAGGGAGGTACAGTCAGGGAGGTACAGTCAGGGAGGTACAGTCAGGGAGGTACAGTCAGGGTGGTACAGTCAGGGTGGTACAGTCAGGGAGGTACAGTCAGGGAGGTACAGTCAGGGAGGTACAGTCAAGGAGGTACAGTCAGGGTGGTACAGGTAGGGTGGTACAGTCAAGGAGGTACAGTCAGGGAGGTACAGTCAGGGTACGAACTGAGGTCACTCTTGACCTTAGTTCGTACACTCCTAGTCAGTTCCCATCATCCTGTGACTCCACATCTCGTGCAACACTGTGTTATATATTTTCTTGCAACACTGTTTTATATCTCCCTGCAACACTGTGTTATATATCTTCTTACACTTGAAGAATATAGAGGCCACCTTATAATTTAGTGTTGTTTTGTTTCAGTTATTACATAAGAGAACACCAGCGGTAGTTCGTGAGAATATTCACGTTGTGTGAACTACCTTTGTTGTTCTTCACGAAACTATTTCTCTCCTGTTAGTTTACTACTGTCCCAATTATTTTATCCATTACTTTAAAGAGTATGCATGAACATGTAATTTTCTATGGATAGAAGAGAACCTAACCTAACCTAACCTAACCTAACCTAACCTAACCTAACCTAACCTAACCTAACCTAACCTACACCTAACCTAACCTAACCTAACCTAACCTAACCTAACCTAACCTTACCTAACCTAACCTAACCTAACCTAACCTAACCTAACCTAACCTTACCTAACCTAACCTAACCTAACCTAACCTAACCTAACCTAACCTAACCTAACCTAACCTCACCTAACCTAACCTAACCTAACCTAACCTAACCTAACCTCACCTAACCTAACCTAACCTAACCTAACCTAACCTAACCTAACCTCACCTAACCTAACCTACCTAACCTAACCTAACCTAACCTAACCTAACCTAACCCCTAACCTAACCTAACCTAAACCTAACCTAACTAACCTAACCAAACCTAACCTAACCTAACCTAACTAACCTAACCTAACCTCAACCTAACCTAACCAACTAACCTAACCTAACCAACTAACCTAACCTAACCTCACCTAACCTAACCTAACCTAACCTAACCTAACCTAACAATAATAATAATAATAATAATAATAATAATAATAATAATAATAATAATAATAATAATAATAATAACAATAATAATATCTTGATTTACTACAGGTACATATACAAGGTATACAGACCATAGCTGACAACAATGACATACTACTATATACAAAGCCGATTGTTATGCTGAGCATTTCGGGTAAATTCGGTCAGTTCTGTCCCAGGATGCGACCCACACCAGTCCACTAACAACCAGGTACCCATTTCACTGATGGTGAACACAGATAACCGGTGTAAAGAAACGCGCCCAATATTTCTACCCTCGCTGGGAATCCAACCCAGACCTTCGCCGTGTGAAGGGAGAGCTTTAGCCACCAGGCCACCTAACCGAACTTAAACTAAGCTAACCTAACCTAACCAAACCTAACCTAACTTAAACTAAGCTAACCTAACCTAACCAAACCTAACCTAACTTAAACTGAGCTAACCTAACCTAACCAAACCTAACCTAACTTAACCTACACTAACCTAACCTAACTTTAAACTAAGCTAACCTAACCTAACCAAACCTAACTAACTTAACCTACACTAACCTAACCTAACTTAAAAACTAAGCTAACCTAACCTAACCTAACCTAACCTAATTAACCTAACCAAACATAACCTAAACTAATCTAGAATAAACTAAACTAACTTAACTTAAACTAAGCTAAGCTAACCTAACGAAACCTAACCTAAACTAACCTAACCAAACCTAACCTAACCTAACCTAAATTAACCTAATCTAACTCTAAACTAACTTAACCTAATCAAACCCAACCTAATCTAACCTAACCTAACAAACCTAACCTAACATAACCTAATCTGACTTAACCAAACTTAACCTAACCAAATCTAACCTAACCTAACCTAACCAAACCTAAGCAAACTTAACCTAACCTAACCTAACCAAACCTAACCTAACCAAAACCTAACCTAACATAACCTAATCTGACTTAACCAAACTTAACCTAACCAAATCTAACCTAACCTAACCTAACCTAACCTAACCAAACCTAAGCAAACTTAACCTAACCTAACCTAACCAAACCTAACCTAACCAAACCTTCTTCTTTCTTTCAACACACCGGCCGTATCCCACCGAGGCGGGGTGGCCCAAAAGGAAAAACGAAAGTTTCTCCTTTTACATTTAGTAATATATACAGGAGAAGAGGTTACTAGCCCCTTGCTCCTGGCATTTTAGTCGCCTCTTACAACACGCATGGCTTACGGAGGAAGAATTCTGTTCCACTTCCCCATGGAGATAAGAAGAAATAAACAAGAATAAGAACTAGAAAGAAAATAGAAGAAAACCCAGAGGGGTGTGTATATATATGCTTGTACATGTATGTGTAGTGTGACCTAAGTGTAAGTAGAAGTAGCAAGACGTACCTGAAATCTGGCATGTTTATGAGACAGAAAAATGGACACCAGCAATCCTACCATCATGTAAAACAATTACAGGCTTTCGTTTTACATTCACTTGGCAGGACGGTAGTACCTCCCTGGGCGGTTGCTGTCTACCAACCTACTACCTATAACCTAACCAAACCTAACCAAGACTAACCAAACCTAACCAAACCTAACCTAACCTAACCAAACCTAACTTTACCTTAGTTAACCAAACCTAATTTAACCTAACCTAACCAAACCTAACAAAGTCTAACCAAACCTAACCTAGCCTAGCCTAACCAAACCTGAACTAACCAAATAGAAATTTGCAGCAAACCTTAAGTGAAAAATCTACATAGATACTTATGGTTGCTCTTTCTTCATGTTGACCCCTTGTTGACCTGTTGTGTCCCCAGTTGACCCCTTATGACCTGGTCTCAATTGAAATTGACCCTCGTCATTACCTACTACTGTATGCTCCTCGGCAGGTATGTGAAGTTCGCGTCGCCGCACGAACACACACTGACCTTCTCTCTGCTGAACCTCAACGTGGTGCTCTCTGGGGTTCTGGTGCTCCTCCTCATAGAGGTCTCAGGACCCATCTATGGCTGGGCTGAGTATGCTTTCGTTCAAGGTACGTTCAAAAACAATGTTTTATTTAAAAAGGCTCTTGAGCAAATACCACGACATACTTAACAAACAAAATTTACTTATTTCTGCAGTATAAAATAATGTGGTTTTACATGTAATAATATACTGTTAAGCACAACAAAAGCCACCAGGATGCACATCATATCGGGGATTAGAAAACACTTCGGTCTTGGGACCTTGATCACTTCTAACACGTTAATTTTTAAACCAATCTGTTGGTATCAGTTACCAAGGTTTATAAGAACATAAGAATGGAAGAACACTGCAGCAGGTCTACTGGCCCATACAAGGTAAGTTCTTCTCTAAACCAACCATTCCCATCCACCTACTTGTTCAGTCTTTTCCAAAAGCTATATAATTTTTTTTTAAATACCTCAGTTAGTAATCAGAATCAGTCCCTGTCACACATACAGCAGCAGGTGCCGATGCTTTGCTCTGTATGACCGAGGAAGGTACAGTAGTTATGTCAGCTGCAGAACCTCCCTTCCAGCAGTGTTATTACAAGTTCTCAGGACGACCACTCAGTCTAACACTCCCACTGCACAATCTGACGTACTCACCACCCCGTCTGACACCGAACCGTAACATATCACATCCCACAACAATATATAAGACGTCCAACACTTCATTTAACTCTCAATTACACCATCTAACATGCACACCACCCCATCTAAGACCCTCTCCACTTTCTGTAACACGCCCACTACACCATCTATGACTCTCACCACTCCGTGTATTTGCAGACTGCGGCGTGTGTGTGCTGGACCCCGTGTCGACGCACATCCTGACGTACACGGTAATACAGACGTCGTGTTACATCAGCCTGCCAGCCCTCATCACCGTGTGTGCCACTCTCTGTGTCCTACACCGCTGCTACACCCACCCCGCCCCCCTCACTCACGGCTCTCAGGTACTTCATATACTGTACACACACACACACACACACACACACACACACACACACACACACACAAAACCCCACCACAAAACACACACACACCCCACACACACACAACACACACACAGCACACACAAACACACACACACACACACACACACACACATACACACACACACACACACACACACCACACACACTGGAGGACAGGAGGGTCAGGGGAGACATGATAACGACATATAAAATACTGCGTGGAATAGACAAGGGGGGACAAAGACAGGATTTTTCCCAGGGAGGGGACACAAAAACAAGGGGGCCACAATTGGAAGTTTGAAGACACAAATGAGTCAGAGAGATATTAAGAAGTATTTCTTCAGTCATAGAGTTGTAAGGCAGTGGAATAGCCTAGAAAATGACGTAGTGGAGGCAGGAACCATACACAGTTTTAAGACGAGGTTTGATAAAGCTCATGGAGCGGGGAGAGAGAGGGCCCAGTAGCAACCGGTGAAGAGGCGTTGCCAGGAGCTAAGAGAAAGTGCAAAGGTTTGCAACAAGACTAGTCCCAGAGCTACGGGGATTGTCCTACGAAGAAAGGTTGAGGGAAATCGGCCTGACGACACTGGAGGACAGGAGGGTCAGGGGAGACATGATAACGACATATAAAATACTGCGCGGAATAGACAAGATGGACAAAGACGGGATGTTCCAGAGATGGGACACAGACACAAGAGGTCACAATTGGAAGTTGAAGACTCAGATGAATCAAAGGGATGTTAGGAAGTATTTCTTCAGTCATAGAGTAGTCAGGCCATGGAATAGCCTAGAAAGGGATGTAGTGGAGGCAGGAACCATACATAGTTTTAAGGCGAGGTATGATAGAGCTCATGGGGCAGGGAGAGAGAGGACCTAGTAGCAATCAGCGAAGAGGCGGGGCCAGGAGCTGTGACTCGACCCCTGCAACCACAAATAGGTGAGTACAAATAGGTGAGTACACACACAATAGCCTAGCAAGTGAAGTAGTGGAGGCAGGAACCATACATAGTTTTAAGAAGAGGTATGATACAGCTCAGGAAGCAGAGAGAGAGGACCTAGTAGCGATCAGTGAAGAGGCGGGGCCAGGAGCTGAGTCTCCCACCCTGCAACCACAATTAGGTGAGTTACAATTAGGTGAGTACACACACAAAACACACACACACACACACACACACACACACATATATATATATATATATATAATATTTATATATATATAAATATATATATATATATATATATATATATATATATAATATAAAATATATATAAAATTCTAACAAGTCGGACGTCTCCCACTGAGGCAGGGTGACCCAAAAAAGAAAGAAAATCCCCCAAAAGAAAATACTTTCATTATCATTCAACACTTTCACCTCACTCACACATAATCACTGTTTTTGCAGAGTTGCTCAGAACACAACAGCTTAGAAGCATATACATATAAAGATACACAACATATCCCTCCAAACTGCTAATATCCCGAACCCCTCCTTTAGAGTGCAGGCATTGTATATCCCATTTCCAGGACTCGAGTCCGGCCATATAAAAATAACCTGTTTCCCTGAATCCCTTCACTAAATATTACCCTGCTCACACTGCAACAGATCGTCAGGTCCCAAATACCATTCGTCTCCATTCACTCCTATCTAACACGCTCACACACGCTTGCTGGAAGTCCAAGCCCCTCGCCCACAAAACCTCCTTTACCCACTCTCTCCAACCTTTTCGAGGACGACCCCACTCTCTCCAACCTTTTCGAGGACGACCCCTACCCCGCCTTCCTTCCCTTACAGATTTATACGCTCTCTATGTCATTCTACTTTGATCCATTCTCTCTAAATGACCAAACCAAATCAACAACCCCTCTCAGCCCTCTGACTAATACTTTTATTAACTCCACACCTTCTCCTAATTTCCACACTTCGAATTTTCTGCATAATATTTACACCACACATTGCCCTTAGACAGGACATCTCCACTGCCTCCAACCGCCTCCTCGCTGCTGCATTCACAACCCAAGCTTCACAGCCATATAAGAGTGTTGGTACTACTATACTTTCATACATTCCCTTCTTTGCCTCCATAGATAACGTTTTTGTCTCCACATATACTTCAACGCACCCCCTCACCTTTTTTCCCTCATCAATTCTATGATTAACCTCATATTTCATAAATCCATCCGCTGACGCGTCAACTCCCAAGTATCTGAAAACATTCACTTCTTCCATACTCCTCCTCCCAAATTTGATATCCAATTTTTCTTTATCTAAATTATTTGATACCCTCATCACCTTACTCTTTTCTATGTTCATTTTCAACTTTCTACCTTTACACACACTCCCAAACTCATCCACTAACCTTTGCAATTTTTTCTTCAGAATTTCCCATGAGCTCAGTATCATCAGCAAAAAGCAACTGTGTCAATTCCCATTTTGTATTTAATTCCCCATAATTTAATCCCATCCCTCTCCCGAACACCCTAGCATTTACTTCTTTTACAACCCCATCATAAATATATATTAAACAACCATGATGACATTATACATCCCTGTCTAAGACCTACTTTTACCGGGAAGTAGTCTCCCTCTCTTCTACACACCCTAACCTGAGCCTCACTATCCTCATAAAAACTCTTTACAGCATTTAGTAACTTACCACCTATTCCATATACTTGCAACATCTGCCACATTGCTCCCCTATCCACTCTATCATATGCCTTTTCTAAATCCATAAATGCAATAAAAACTTCCCTACCTTTATCTACATACTGTTCACATATATGCCTCAATGTAAACACTTGATCTACACATCCCCTACCCACTCTAAAACCTCCTTGCTCATCCGCAATCCTACATTCTGTCTTACCTCTAATTCTTTCAGTTATAACCCTACCGTACACTTTTCCTGGTATACCCAGTAAACGTATTCCTCTATAATTTTTACAATCTCTTTTGTCCCCCTTCCCTTTATATAAAGGGACTATACATGCTCTCTGTCAATCCCTAGGTACCTTCTCCTTTTCATACATTTGTTAAACAAAAATACCAACCACTCCAACACCATATCCCTCCCTGCTTTTAACATTTCTGTCATGATCCTGTCAGTTCCAGCTGCTTTACCCTTTTTCATTCTACGTAATGCCTCATGCACCTCCCCCACACTCACATCCTGTTCTTCTTCACTCCTAAAAGATGGTATACCTCCCTGGCCAGTGCATGAAATTACCACCTCCCTTTCTTCATCTACATTTAAAAGTTCCTCAAAATACTCTCGCCATCTACCCAAAACCTCCATCTCCCCATCTACTAACTCCCCTACTCTGTTTTTAACTGACAAGTCCATTCGTTCCCTAGGCTTTCTTAACTTGTTTAACTCCAAATTTTTTTCTTATTTTCATTAAAATTTCTTTACAGTGCCTCTCCCACTCTCATCCGCTCTCCTTTTGCACTCTCTCACCACTCTCTTCACCTTTCTTTTACTCTCCATTTACTCTTCTTATAACACTTCTGCTTTGTAAAAACCTCCCATAAGCTACCTTTTTCTCTTTTATCACACCCTTTACTTCATCATTCCACCAATCACTCCTCTTTCCTCCTGCCCCCACCCTCCTATAACCTTAAACTTCTCCCCCACATTTTAATACTTCATTTTTAAAACTTATTCTAACCCTCTTCACCCCCCCCACTACTCATACTTGCACTAGCCCACCTTTCTGCCAATAGTTGCTTATATCTCACCCGAACTTCCTCCTCCCTTAGTTTATACACTTTCACCTCCCTCTTGCTTGTTGTTGCCATTTTCCTCTTTTCCCATCTACCTCTTACTGTAACTGTAGCTACAACTAGATAATGATCCGATATATCAGTTGCCCCTCTATAAACGTGTACATCCTGGAGCCTACCCATCAACATTTTATCCACCAATACATAATCTAACAAACTACTTTCATCACGTGCTATATCATACCTTGTATATTTATTTATCCTCTTCTTCATAAAATATGTATTACTTATTACCAAACCTCTTTCTACACACAGCTCAATTAAAGGCTTCCCTGGCACCCCAAATTTACCTACTGCTCCCTCCACAACATCTTTACCCACTTTAACATTGAAATCCCCAACCACCATTACTCTCACACTTGGTTCAAAACTCCCCACGCATTCACTCAACATTTCCCAAAATCTCTCTCTTCTCTCCTCTACACTTCTCTCTTCCCCAGGTGCATATACTCTTACTATAACCCACTTTCACATCCAACCTTTATTTTACTCCACATAATCCTTGAATTAATACATTTATAGCCCCTGACATAGATGAGGGAATAAATTGTGACATAAGCAAATTTGCTGATGACACCAAAATAGGCCATCCAATTCATTCTAATGAGGACACTAGAGCACTCCAGGATGATTTGAATACTGATGCAATGGTTGGAGAAGTGGCAGATGCAGTTTAATATTGACAAATGCAAAGTTCAAAATGTTGGACAGGAAAATAACCATGCCACATATAAACTAATTAATATAGATCTTAATACTACTGATTGTGAAAAGGATTTAGGAGTTCTGGTTAGCAGTAATCTAAAACCAAGACAACAGTGCATTAGTGTTCGCAATAAAGCTAACAGAATTCTTGGCTTCATATCTAGAAGTATAAATAATAGATGTCCTCTGGATATTCTTCAACTCTATATATTCTTGGTTAGGCCTCATTTAGACTATGCTGCTCAGTTTTGGTCATCGTATTACAGAATGGATATAAATGCTCTGGAAAAACCATACCCCCGGCCGGGATTGAACCCGCGGTCATAGAGTCTCAAAACTCCAGCCCGTCGCTCTGGAAAACGTACAGAGGAGGATGACAAAGATGATCCCATGTATCAGAAATCTTCCCTATGAGGATAGACTGAGGGCCCTGAATCTGCACTCTCGAAAGGCGTTGAATTAGGGAGGATATGATCGAGGTGTATAAATAGA